CAGCAAATGAACTGAAACTGAACAATAAAAAAAAACAGAATATTGTGATATCCCCAAACACCAGTAATACTCTAGGAGACAGTGTTAACTTACTAGGTATTCATATTGATGCTAGACTCAGTTGGTCCAGCCATATTGAAGCAACTACTCGTAAGCTGTCTAGTGTTTTATTTATTCTTATACAGTTGAGGCTGTTGGTTTGATGACACTGAAGATAGGATATCATTTACTAGTCCACGCAGTTATTTCATATGAAGTCTTGATTTGGGGGCATTCCACAAAGTCAATCACGATTTTCAGATGTCAGAAAAAAGCCATGGGAGATTCATAAGAATATTGAGATGTTTCCGAAACACTCCCACAATCATGATTATTCAACAAGATCCGCATCACTGAATAATACAAGACATAGGTTAGCAGTTAGTCAAAAAACTTCCTGAATTTGAATTTATACAACTGTCTTCATTCCTCAGTTAAATTTTCGGATTTCGAATATAATATCAAGAGATATCTTCTCAACCACTGTTTCTACACAATCGAAGAATATGCTGCTGTAGCTGGTCAATTCATAGTTCTTGAAAAATGATTCATGTTGTAAAGCTGTGATAAAGCCTGTTCTTATGTTTGTTGACCTTTTTATATTGATATATTTATTTTATTACCATTCATGTGACACTGTGGTCATTTTAATGAAGTTTGATATGCCAGTTTCATTTATTGTTGCTCGTTTTAAATGTCTGAGATAGTATACCTATAGTATATGGTATATATGACTTGCCATAAATATATTTTGTATATAAAGTGGTCAAATGAATTTACTCTACTCTATTCTACTATGGTAAATTCTTGGTAGACTTGAAAATTGAACAAAAACCACTAATCAAAGAGCGTCTTTACTGCTTAAATCAAAATTCGACTGCTACCCTCTTCCAATATGTCGCGTAGATNTTGAACTGTATTGTTGTTGGCACTTTTCTTCACAAGAAGTAAAGCAAGCATCACCAAGACTTCTTAGATCCTCATTAATCTCTTTCCAAGCAGGGACATTATCTGTTTCATCAAACGTATATATGAATAAACTGTTTTAAAATCTGTTTTCCCGTTAATCACATATATACACACATATTTATGCATACACACATATACATATATTAGGACCACTGACTATTGAATACCTCATCAATCTTATAGAAAGTTTGGGTGACAAGTGAATTTTTCACATTGAACTTCAATTCTTTTATATGAAGGTCGTTCCAATTTATAGGCAAAGTGTTATATATTTTTATTAGAAGAAACTCCGTTTGTTTGGCTGTGTTTTGATAATGCATCTTCGGTAGTCTTTGTGTGTGGTGTCATGATTGTGAATCCTAGAGCCACTATTATATTTATTTTTATGTACAAACAGTATTGATTCTACAATATAAATGGAAAGTAATGTAGGTAAGTATGACCGATTTTATAAAGATTGGTTTACCAATCTGGAATCTGATGATGAATAAACTAATTTTTTGTTATTAGGATTCTTTCAGGTTGGTTGTTGTGAGTTTTTCTTCTTAATGAAATATGTTTCACTTGATAAATATTATTTCGAATGTTCTTGATTTGAATCACTGTGAGCAAGGTTTTATTCATCAGTTTTGTGAATATTTATGGGATTACGGAACATCAAATGCTCTCCTTCGAACTTGTTGGTATAACTTCAGAGAATGATTTTGATGATGACATCGAAACCTCTATGTTTGCCGATTACTGTGGTTCTGAGGATGATTTGCCTGATTTCGCCTGAAGACCGAGCGAGAGAAAAAAGATCGCCAGTTGGTCTAAATAAATCAACAAAATCTACTTTCGCCTAAGAAAGTGATGAAAGTTTTACAATCAACACCTGTCATTTACTTGTGATTCACTGTTTGGAACCTTTGGAGTAGTAATGAATATTACTGGAGTCTTTTCCCAACACCAAACCGTTATTTTAACACCTCGACACGTGTTTCGATCACCAAGTGATCATCTTCAGGAGAAACTGTCATTTGTTGGGTATGTGCGTAAAGGTTTTCGAATGGATGCTCCCAAGTATTAGATGGCAATGTGTTTCTGATCACGTCATCATACTCTGCTATATCAGCGACAGTAAGTTAGTTGTAATGATTCCAACTGAATATATTCACCCGTGATTTTTTCCGTTCGTATTGCTGATTCCGTTCTTCAGTAAATTTAATTCGATGCTGTATTATCGTGTCGAAAATATATTCAGAGAATATCAATCTAACTTTAGTAGTTTTCGCGAATATTACATAATAAATTGCGAAGTTGCGTGAACATTTCGTCTAATTTCAGAAGTTAGACAATAATTAATACGCCGTATATGTAACTTTCGCGGATCTATTTTTAATTCGCAACTTGGCAACTTAACTCAAATTGAGAAACTTCCTAACGGGAAGTTTTCACGTGAGGGTGTCTAAATATCGCAATAAAATAGTCAGCGAAATGTCGGGAAGAAGCGGAAATCTTCAGACAGGCAATAAGTTTTTTTTTTCCTATGTACGTCTTAGTACGTCGAAAGCTGTTCAGATAGAACTGAATAACAATTTTTTGGCAACTGTCTGAAATGTACCCACTTTCCGGACGCTTTTTCTTTGAGAAAGTAGCATTATTCCGGCCTAGTCCGGGAAGTACGTACTTCCTGTACTAGGCCGGGAAGAATCACATCATGGTTCTCATTGTGAAAATGAAAATCTTGGTAGGCATGGTGTTGATAACCATTGTAGCAAATAATGACTGACAGCTATTTGACATGAAAATAAGGATAGCATTGTAAGTATGATTAGTTTGATCTTCCTCTTGAAGATGATCATTTGGTGATCGAAACACGTGTCAAGATGTTGAAATAACGGATGTAATTGTGGCTCATTTGGCGCAAAAATCTGAAACTGTCAAATCCACTACCTTGTGAGGTATGTAATCTACGTTGAAAAGTGCCATTTCACTGAAGAAAAATGTAAAGATAGCCACTTCCTCAAAGGTTATTGCATTTCTTAAGAGGAATAACGTTGGTTAAAAGAAATCAGAAATTTTCAACGGCGAGCAGATCAACAATCTCATCAGGGAAGGAAATAATGAAACACGTCTACTGCTAAAAGCAATTTCAACAAAATATTGCGATTGTAAAATAATCAACTCAATTTGTGTTATTTTCAGGAAGCAACAATTATTTATTGAGTTAGCCAGTGCGTGTAGACGGGAAGAACTAGGTTAGGTTAGATCAAAAGTGAGTGGATCTGTTCGACCCTCCACCGCAACCCGCAAGGGTTTATTGTGGTTTACACATATTGACACTCGATCAAATAAACCCAGCTTTTTAACGAAGCCGATTAGTTTGTATGGTGAGTGGTCTTTCAGGTCAGATGGTGAGAGTACGGCTCTGCCGAACTCTGAAAACCTGATTCGGTCTCCAGCGGGGCAGGTACAAAGTATGTGCTCTGCTGTTTCATTATTTTCCAAACAGAGGCGATACACACTGTCTTCCGACAGTCCGAGTATCTGCATATGATGATTCAAATGCCACTGACCTATGAGAAGGCCTATTAGACATCGTAGTTTGTCCCTACTATAGTCCAACAACTGTTTTGTATCTAGCTTCGAAGTGAATAAACGCCTTGGAGTGAGCCAATCCTGGAAGATTCTGCCAGAAGTCCATAAATCTATCCAGGTGTTCAATGTTTGTTTGGCAAAGCCTAAAGCGATGCCAATGACCGGTTCTGGTCCGATGAAGCTGCTTGCAGCACCTTCCTTTGCAATGGCGTCAGTAGCCTCATGACATCACCGCGAAAGAATGCAGTCCGCAACCGCCGGTAAAACTTTGAACACCGAACCGACTACAGATTTCTAGAAAGAACCGTTACATTATATAAGCCCGGTTTCCTGACCCAAGAGGGCAGTTCAGAAAGTGAATCGAGCGGTTAAACAAGAAATTCAAATAGTGGAAATAAATTGAGCGTTGGTTGCTAAGTGTTGTAAATAAATAAATTAGTTTGTGATTAGTAAAATATTGTTGGAAATGAATCTGTTCAAGACAGTAAATTCTTCAATTTGTTACAGCCGCTTGATATTAATGAATTAAGCTTTAGTTGCTAAGTGCTATAAATGAATTAGTTTCTTATTAGTCAGTGAGCTATGCTTGAAGACTGGCAGTAAACAAATCTAAAGAAATGAACTTGAAACGTTTAAGCCAGTTTCGAATATACCTACACAGTAGGTTGAATGGACTGAAGCCTATCAGAAAACAACCACTCCCCTGGCTAATACCACGAAGGACGTTGGATTATATCCGACAGGCGGGGCGTCAGTGCAGTTAGTTTGTGATTAGTGAAATATTGCTGGAAATAAATTTGTTTAAGACAGTTAATTCTTCAATTTCTTACAGCCGCTTGATATTAATGAATTAAGCGTTAGTTGCTAAGTGTTGTAAATAAATTAGTTTGTGGTTAGTGAAATATTCTTGGAAATAAATTTGTTCAAGACAGTAGATTCTGTAATCTGCTACAGCCGCTTGACTCTATGAGAATATTTTTATTGACTTGTGTATGAGGTTGGATTCTTCCATTCTCTCCGTACACAATGCAGTAGCGTAAATTTTCGCTCGAAATACAGTCGGATAAGTTCCTAGGTAGGTTGATATCTCTGTCCTGGGTCTGCGACTGCAACTTGCATCACGTTAAAGCACCTGCTTACTCGCGATTGCTTTTCCGTAATTATTTGGCTAAGAACAACACCGTAATCATACCTCAGCCTCCGTATTCGCCAGATTTGACCCCCTGCGACTTTTTTGTTCCCAAGATTTAAGAAACTCATGAAAAGAAGGTGTTTTACGAGTTTTGATCATTTATTAGCGAATGAACGAAAAATCATTCTGTTGTCCTATATTTCATATTTAGAACATCAAATGTTGAAGGAAATGAATGAATTTCTGATCACGGTTGTGGAAAAAACTGTTTCTCTTCCAGGAACAAAACCCTCATCTTACTCCCTATGAAATCATCTACAGATTATATCCTTATAAAATATTCCTCAAAGATGGCGTAACGAATTTAGAAGACCTCCTCAACAAGTTGGAAGTTTCTCCTCAACAGCAGTCAACAGTCTCTTCTCTGACAGAAAAAATATTCAACTTCTTGAAATCCAAGTCGGCTGATGGTGGTAATGGCTATGTCGAAACGAAATATCAAAACGAACTTTTGCAAAACGTTTCACAAAGTCTCAACGTCGGAGATGTCTGTATTATCGGTACAAGCGGTTGTGGAAAGACCATGTTAATCAATAAGGTAAGGAATACGATGTTTTTTCACCTATTTCAGTTCAATATTCTTTGGGGTCGCAATAATTTCATGAAACGCCGATATTAAATGTATCGTTCCTTGACGAGAATAGTTTCGAATCAATTCAAGATTGTTTAAGTAGCATGATATAGCAATTTTTTTTCAAATATCTTACACCAGCCACTCGACTGTCTTTGGAAAACAAGTTTGACTACAAGTAATCATGGGAACATGCCCGTATGAAGACGCTAGCTATGAGCAGCGTCTCCACTCTTCCAGAGTGGATAAAAGGAAGAAAACATGCAGAAACTTCGAGAATAGTTCTGAATTATTTCAAGATTGTTCAAATAGCATGATATAGCAAATGTTTTCCAAATATCTTACACCAGACACTCAACTGTCTTTGGAAAACAAGTTTGACTACAAGTAATCATGGGAACATGTCCATACGAAGACGCTGACTATGGGATCCACAGAAAACTCAAACTTTGCTCATCTAAGCTATCCTTGAAGAACAAGTTCAAGTAAAATTAACCATTCCTTCTTATACTCAAGATGGTTTTTCAACATGCCATCCCATGGATGTCGTCGTCGTTACAGAGTATCATGCTTACGCATATTCGTGAAGAAAGGCTAAAACAAATATAAATCAATGAGCCAAGTTTTTAAACATTCAGTTACGGGAGTCATTGCTGCATATTGTTCCAGGGATTCTTCTCCATGTTATATAACTTCTTCAAACTCCCCGATATCACCCCACGCGGTTCCACCACCATTTGTTGATGAAACCACCACCATTTGGTGGTGAAACCGCGTTCATTCAACATGTGCGTCCACTGAAACCAATCAACGAATTATTTGAGAGTAGCAAAACTTCAATCAACCGTTATTACCAACCCCGTTTCTATGAAATGTGTTTTGAATTTATGAACTTGCTTTGGCTCAATTGAAAAATAAATTGCAAAACTGTATAAACAAAGTCACAACACATCATTCTGACCATAAGTAAGGTGAACGTCGGGAATTTTATTCAATTTTTTCTGTAGGTAGCTGAACTCTTAGGTAGAGAAGTGGAAAATATCGTTTTATATCAAGACATGACCTCCAGAGATTTAATTCAACAGAGAACCACCCTTGACAACGGAGATACCATTTGGAAATTTTCTCCTCTTGTTAGTGCAGCTATAGAAGGAAAAATAGCCGTGTTAGATGGTATCAACAGAATCCACCCGAGCACCTTAACCGTTTTACATAGGTGAGGCCAAAACCAAGTTGTTACTGAAGGGAAAAGTTGATTTTTTTGAAGGTAAATCAAAATCAGGGCAAGTTGCAAAATTACTTCCAGATGTGAAGAACTTCTGGAAGTTGAATAAAAATGGAAATGTTTCTAGCACAAACACAATAGATACATTCCATGTTCTAGATAAAGATTCGTTATCCAACATATTCAAGTCTATTTTTCACTGGCAATCATACTTCCTTGTACTCAAAAGTGCCAATACCAAGTAGTTCAGCAAAGTATTAGAATATATTGTCTCGAGCTACTAGTATACTATTTGTATACTATATTTTAGGTTAGTTCACGACCGAGAACTCCAACTGCACGACGGTACAAGGCTGATAGATAGTGACCGCTATAATTTTCTACAGCAGCACTTCGGATTGACCAAAGAACAACTTCACGAAAGTGGCGTTTTCGAAATTCATCCAGATTTCAGGATAGTTGCTATAGGGGAACCCCCGAATTTTCAATCTGCTGGGGGCAACTGGATGTCTCCGGAGGTATTGAGTCTTTTCGTCTTCCACGAAATGAGGACTCTGAGCAAACAAGAAGAACTGCATATAATCACCACAAAGGTAAGTCCGGCTTAGTGATGTCTTCAATCTACTCGTGAGTCTATTGGATATTAAAGTACTTATATCTTCGTGGGTCATTCAATATCTTCATAAGACATATTGACATATTGATTGTATAAGTCAGTAGTTAATATAATTAGGGTTAATTCTGTCTACTATGTTATAGTATACCAATTAACATTAAAATACGTTTCCAAATTTTTGTTGAAAAAAAATTGTTTATATCAATTGTTATGAATATGACTTCATTCGATTTCCTCTTGTTCTTTCGTTCAATCAGTGGCACCACCTCATTAGGAGTTGCACGTTTGAAGGTAAAACCTTGTTAATCCTTAACTCACACAAGTATCTACAGATTTTTCAAACTTCCAGCCCTAAATTGTCATTTTAAATAGTGAATCTTCCAACAATGGTTGTCCAGAAAAACATGGCATCTCATCTTAGAGTTAATAAAAAAATTTGAATACGGGTATCATGAAAGGTCTGAAGCTTCAAAATCAAATTCTGAAGGAGAAACTTTCAGGGAAATCAACACATAGAATGCGTTTTCAACATTATTTCACACAAACATTCATTTACTTATGAAGCAATATGTGCATTTTGAATTATTCAGGTCTCAGAAATATCAACTCCTAATTTTCGTTTTCTGTCATATACAATATCAAATTCATATCTTCTATCTCATTTTGTCGAAACATGAGATTCACTTTTGGAATTTCGATTATACAACATATTCTTCAGGGTTGCAACTGCTTTCAAGGTTTATAAATAGAGGATTATTGAGGGGAGCATTATGTAACCCAAAAGGTGAACGTTTAAAGTCGTGAAAATCTTTAAAAAGGACTACAGGAGCTTTCAAAAAGTTCAATTATTTTTCAAACTCCCATATGAAGCAGTTGATTTCTTTCATCAGAAATAATGTCGAAACATGAGCTTCACTTTTGGAATTTCGATTATACAACATATTCTTCAGGGTTGCAACTGCTTTCAAGGTCTATAAATAGAGGATTATTGAGGGGAGCATTATGTAACCCAAAAGGTGAACGTTTAAAGTCGTGAAAATCTTTAAAAAGGACTACAGGAGCTTTCAAAAAGTTCACATTATTTTTCAAACTCCCATATGAAGCAGTTGATTTCCATCATCAGAAATAATGACTCAATCAAATCCAAAAGTTTTCTTCATTGACGCAAAATGAAACTCCTGGTCTATTGAATTCTAGTTTTTTAAAAAAAAAAAAAGAAAATGAAACTCTCGTTTTTCATAAATTATAATTACACTCTCCATTATGTAGAGTGTAAATGGCTAACTCCGAAAAACAGTTGTAACCTAATATTTCCAACGCCTAAGTTTTTATTCATTTCATGTAGTTCGGTCATATCTCAAGACCAATGCAGCAGATCGTGGAGTTAGCGCACATTCTTAGAGGCAGTCCGGATCCAACATTGAAAAATCTCTCGGGCCACTTGTCCACGAGACAGTTAATCCGCATAGCGGCCAGAATGAAGAGCTACCCGACCGACAACATTTACGGCATCCTTGAAGAAACGTTCATGATCAAATTTCTACCGTCTCTGACCAGACAAGTCCTTGAGAAGACTTTGGAGAAAGTGAAAATAACCCCGAGTGAAAACAACGACAAAAATCCAGTCCAATCTGAAATCAAAGACGGTATATTGACGATAGGCAGCATCGCTGTTCCTGTGTACAAGACTAAAGATTTAACCAAAGTCCCGGATATTTTGTTTTACGACGTTCCACAGCACTTGAAGTTGATGGAAAAGTTGCTGCAGGATTTTCAACTCGGGTACCATCTGTTGCTGGTCGGCAATCAAGGTGTGGGGAAGAACAAAATCGCTGATCGGTTTCTCGAGCTACTGAACAGACCAAGAGAATACATCCAGTTGCACAGGGATACTACTGTGCAAACTTTGACGACGCAACCCACTGTGAAGGATGGGTTACTGATTCATGAGGATTCACCGCTTGTAAAGGTGAGTTTCCATTTATAAGTAAAGTCCAACAATGTCTTCGCAAATATTTTAACAATATTATTAATCAATTGAAATGAACTAGAAGATAATTAAATTCACAATGAATGTATAATGATTTCGTTTACACACTAAATCTCACTCTACATAGAAGCACCAGACGTAAGTCTGATGGTTCCATGTAGAGTACATCTGGTGGAGTCTATATGGAACCACCAGACTAACGTCTGGTAAAATTTTCAGAACGGATAATCGGCTTTAGAGGAGCATCCTTCTTGGGAAACTTTGATGTCATCGCTATCATTTCCTTATCTGAGTAGTATCGATTTTGAAGTTGTTCTTTCATAATGTGATACCCCTCCGTTTCTATCGATGTAGATATCTCCGTAACCTTAACGTTCAGAACCTGTCATTGGTAGTGGAACCTCAGACTTCTGACAAAATCAACCATGATTGTCCCATTTTGAGGCATTTAACAAATGGGCTAAAAAGCTCCGGCCTAAGAAAGGAAACGCGTTTTTTTTGTTCAAAATTAGCATTATTCATCAACGTAATCTCCATCAAAAAACACACAATCATTCCGTTGCCGCTTTAACGTGTCAATACTATTTTGTAAAAAAAAATAGACCTCAATTTCAGCAATAACCCTTTCATTCGAGCGTAATTTTTTACCGGTGACCTTTTTTTTGAGGTCTACGAACAGCCAGTAGTCGCTGGGAGCCAAATCTGGCGAACACGTGGGATGTGGGAACAAGTCGAAGTTCAATTCATGTAGTTTTTCTCATAGTCAAATTATCATGCAATATAACGCCAACACGTTCTTTTGATATCTTCACTTTTCGATCATTCAAAACGATTTTGTGGTTTCTTTCTGGTGTTACTGCATCATTTGGACGTCCCCTGCATTCTGCATCATCGGTGTCTCTTCGACCACGATTGAAGTCAACAATGTTTCTAATGGAGCGGAGTCCTCATAACACTTTTCAAGCCATTGCTTCGCTTGAACTGTATTTTTTCCATCAATAAGTAGCGTAAAATCAAAACACAAAATTGTTTCAAATCCATGACAGAAGTAGTTTCACTCTTAGCACAATAACTCACAAACTTCATTAGTTAAAACTTCCACCATGTATGTATTTTATGTAAGAAATCTACCTACGGTGTCATCGAAAATCTACTGCAATGTATTTGAAGTTGTGTACTCTTCGATTTGAAGTTTGAAAAGCACCAACATAGTGATAATTTGAGTTTTTGACCACTAGGTGGCGTTTGAATAGCACACTGAATCTAGTAGGCCTTGGCTTTCTTACGGGTATGGCCAATGGACGTGGTCTAATATTTGAAATAGCAAGTTGATTTCTAGTTGATTATTTTGAACACTGGAACTATTTCAAGTATTAGATTTCAAAATTCGAAAACAGAAAGGTTTCCATGTTTGAACTGAAACTTTCATTTCTTTAAAAGTCTGAAAACTTTCTTCTTCTTCTTCCTTTATTCGGAGGTCGGAGATATTCAGAAAACAGTAACAGGCACTAGGGAAATGGATGTTTTATGATCTGTATCCATTTTGTTTTCTGTGTATCGAGCGGGCAGAACCTAGAAAAAATGTCATTTGCTGTAAATGTCGCCACTCACATTGAAATAAAAATTCTATCGCCAAGGCATCTTATCCAAATCTACCGAAATCTACTGGCGAAATCTCATCTACTGTAATTTTACAATTTGTGTTGAAAATCTACCGAAAAAGTAGAAATCTACCGCATGTGGTCACCTTGAGTAGAATGTCATGAAATTCCAACAGCTTTCTTTTGAAGGTTAGTTTTAACTGAAACAGCGGTGAATGCAATAAGGCTAGCGCCATCTATATGTTACGCTCGAGACTTTTTAGCCCATGTAGTACATGTCCTTCACAGAATGTCACCAAACAGTTATTAGACTACGACCAGGAATGGCCTACGTTGTCTAACAGGCATACTCACGTGTCTGTTTGGAAGACGATGAAACCAAGAGTCAGATTTTAATTTTTTTGAGTGTTTCACTTTCGTCACTTAACCTAAAAGATCACTCACTTCCTAACTACTAACTAACTAAAGCATCCGAAAATTTCAGAATCATTATTTTGATTATATGCCTCAAATTGATTTTTTTTTTCATTCATTAGCTCCAAATCAGTTGATATTTTCAGATAAAGGAAGTCGAAACTTCTTCCACTTGAATTTTTTTTCATTATCCAACAGGCCATCAAACACGGACACGTTTTGGTCATCGACGAAGCCGACAAAGCCCCCACTCACGTGACGTGCATATTGAAAACCTTAGTCGAATCCGGCGAGATGATTCTCAGCGACGGCAGGAGGATCGTAAAGAAAATTCCAGAAGGCCGAGATCGTACCGGCTACATCGAAACCCACCCCGATTTCAGGATCATTGTCTTGGCCAATCGACCGGGGTTCCCGTTTTTGGGCAACGACTTCTTCGGCGCTCTGGGCGACCTGTTTAGCAGTCACGCCGTTGAGAATCCCTCCAGAGAGTCGGAGATAGAGATGCTGAAGCAGTATGGTCCGAACGTGAGGGTGGAAATCATCCAGAAGTTGGTGGATGTGTTTGGGGAGCTGAGAGCTTTAGCGGATCAAGGGGTGGTGAACTACCCGTACTCAACGAGAGAGGTTGTCAATGTAGTGAAGCATTTGGAGGTAACCAATTAGTTTGTTTAAAAAGTTTCGTCCGTTTCAATGTCATGTGTTTTTGTAGATTTATATCTCAATATATATCCATTCTACCGTGTCGTGGATATACTGATCAATAGAGAATTTTGTATTCTATACATTGATGCTGTTCATTTTTTCCCGAATTTTAATTTGTTGCCTGTTTTCATCTTATTACAATATGATGTCGTTGAGCGATTTACGAATTCAAATTGAACCAAACCGTTGACGAAAGAGACCGAAAAATTAACCAGACATTTGGCAACGATAGTGTTAATGAACGAACTGATCTACATTGGTTGGCGAAATTTCCGAACGCGAGCATCGAAGTGGTTGACCTACTGGGGTTTGCAGACCCTGGTGGAGACTGACCCATCACAAACGATGCGTGGATGACGGAAGAAGTAGGCGTCAGCTCGCATGCAATTTTTGATGGTTCAAAAGCTCGAAAAGTGGGTGCTTCAGGATTTGAACTATCAACAGAAATTGTCACGTGTTATAAAAAGTGGATCCTCTACACCAGGGGACGTTAAGGACAGTTGTTGGACACCGATGAGCCACCCAGGCACTTCCCAAAGGCGGCAAAAAAAAAGACCATGGTTACTGTATGGTGGTCAGCGGTAGGTGTGATTCACTATAACTTTCTGCAACCGGACAAAACCGTCACAGTAGAGTCCTATTGTGAGGAAATCAACGAAATGTACCGGTCAACACAAGAGGTCCGAGTCTGCTCCACGACAACGCCCCTCTGCCACAAGCACTGCCCCCCCCCCCATGCCTCCTCCCTGATGAACACTTCAGCAAGTTTGACATCTGACCTCTTTCAGTCGAAAGTCAGCCTTTAGGTGCTTTCACTTTGTAATCTAATGTTTTCTTTTATCTTGACTTTCCTAATTGGTTGCCTTTTATATTTCGGGATTAGAGAACAAAAACAAATATTAATACTCGAAAATCACTTTATTGTTTTTCAAAGTATTCCACATGAAGATCTATACACTTTTGCATGCGTTTGAACCAATTGTCGAAGCACTTTTGCCACTCTGATTGAGGTATCTCCAAAACATGCATTCTGCAACCTGAAGAAGCAACCGCTTCTTCAGGTGTCGAAAAACGTTGACCTTTTTACGTGCGGGAATAAAAAGAAGTAATTCGATGTTTTGGGTGCTCAAAAATGCAGTTGTTTGAGCCGATTTGTGAGATTTCGCATTGTCGTGGTGAATAGTGACCCGTCTTCGGAGGTTGGTTTTCCTGATTTCTTGGAAGACAACTTGCAAACAAATGGTTGTTTACCACTCAAAATTGACTGTTCTGCGTTGTTCTAGTGGTACGGTTGCGACATGTCCAGTTTTCCAAAAGAGCAGGCCATTTGCTTGGAAGTGCTTCGTACGCGAACAACTTTTGTTGGATTTGGCTCATCGTGAAACACCCATACAGTCGACTGCTGTTTACTTTTGAGCTCATACGCGTAAATCCATGATTCATCACCTGTCACGATGTTATAGACGTGTTTTGAAGCACCGCGATCGTATTTTTTGAGCTTTTCCTTCGACCAATCGACACGAGCCTTTTTTGAGCGATTGACAAATTGTGTGGGATCCAACGCAAACAAATTTTTTTGGCAGTCAAATGTTTATGCAATATTGAATGTATGCTGGTCTCACTAATGCCTTAGGTTATCTCAATCTTACGATTGGTAACATGACGATCTTGCAATATCAGTTCGCGCACAGCATTAATGGTTTTCGGAACAACAACTGATTTTGGACGACCTTCACGAAATTCTTCTTAGAGTAAACTACGACCACGATTGAATTCACCATACCATCGATAGACACTGGCCCTTGATGGAGCTTCATCGCCAAAAATTGAATTAAGTTCATCCATGCACTGTTGCTGAGTCAATCCACGTCGAAAGTTCTAAAAAATAATCGCACGAAAATGTTCACGATTCAATTCCATTTTTGGACCGAGATGAATCTTTTAAGTTACTGTAAACAACACAAATAGCACGCGTATGTCAAAACGTTCTGAGTACGTATAAGCTCGAAAATGTCCAACTTTACGATAGAGCTGTCAGTTGCCAGATTGCAACACTAGGGTTGCCAAATCCCGAAACATAAAAGGCAACCTATCGTAACTGGGGTTGCATGGGGTCCCCAAAAACTAACCGGAGGCGAGTGTTTTTATGTCAAGAGTGAATTCAAAATATAGTCAAGAAGTTTTTATACTTAACGGAGCTGCCTGATAGCTACTCTCGGGGGTAGTCTCTGGTTCTGCTTCGTTGGCCTCATGTGTTTGTCCTCTCTCGAAATCTGGGGTCATCCCTGTTTAGTACATTGTGTAGATGGCGTAGCGCTCGAATTTTGTCAAACGCGTCTTCTGCGTGTTGTCTCATATATGTATGTTCAGTGTATGTTCAGGTCTAGATCCCGGAATATATACCTATCTGTCTGTAGAGTAGGGAGGGTGAGTTTGAGCCCACAGCACTTAGGCCACATGTGACCCATTGTACATCCTCCGGAGGAGTTGTCCTCCTAGGTCATCGTCCATCCTGTCCTTTCCAGGAAGGTGAACAGGTCACTGGCAGACATCTCCTTTATATCGGCAGGTGTAGGCCAAGACTCACCGAACACACACTCTCTTATTATCGATAACTCCGGGCACTCGCACAGGACATGCATGACAGTTTCATCTTCGAATATGCACCTATTCGGTACATATCTTGAAGCGTTTACGGCTTACGCACGCGTTCATAAACGACTGGATCTGTCTTCTCGCTGCGCACTCTCCCCAGGCAGTGCAGGCATACAGAATTATTAGTAATGGTACGGTCTTTATCATCAGCAGCAGCTTCACTTTCAGTCCCTTGTTGCTTCTTCGACCTATTGTTGGTAATAGATTTTGTCGGGCATATCTCGCCATTCCTATTCTCTGCCGTACGTGAGACCTGAATGTTAATCTTTTGTCTAGGGTTACTCCCAGGTATCTAGCTTTCAAGCACTTCGGTAACTTGCTCACCGGTAGAACTTTCACCAATCAAGACCTGGCAGAAACGGCCTTCGTCGACTTCCGAGAATACAATATTTGACACTGATTCAAATGGCGCCTATTGCGATTAAATTGAATAAGAATTCACTGAGATATTGCAGTTTAACGTGTGCCCATAAAATCGGACGAAACTTTTGAAACCACCTATTGATATTTTTTTCAAAATATATCACAGGGGGATAATTTGGGTTCCACATTAGTAACATTTCGTATATTTAGAATATAAAATGAGATTTAAAATAAAAATTTGTGAAACGGAACAAGGTTAATTTTTGGTGACTTTTCTTCTACATCTTTTATAGTGCTCGCTAAACATTCTAGTCTGAAGAGAATTTCCTCATTATAGATGTCATTTCCTCATTATAAATGTCATTACTCTTACGACTTATTCAGGAAATACCTGTCAAGAAACTATCAACATTAACTGTCTACTTTTCGTTAATTCATTCAAAAATTCTTTGGTGAACGTCTATAAGTTTCTTCAGAACGAAGTAAATATAATGTAATTTCAGCTTGGTTTGTCAGGAACCAATCAATCAATAACTTTTTTATTCATCAATTTCGTCAAAAATTATATGAACATCATTCAACACGAATAATAAGCGACTATGTTAAGAAAACATTAGATGCAATAAATAAAAACGTTTATTACAAACGTCAGTCATTATGAAATTTATTCATTTTTTATTATTCACTCTTTAGAAATTTCCTACGGCAGACTTGGAAGACGTTATATTCAACGTTTTTGATTTTGATCGATATAGCCCCGAATCAATCGAAACACTTGGAGAAGTTTTGGTGAAGCATGGTTTTTCTAGCAAAAATATCATCACAGCGGAGTATATCGCAGCCAAACGAGCCAAAGAAAATATTCAGGTCACAGTCAACAGATACAGTGGGTAAGTTTTGACGATTGATAACGGCCATCATGTTGGTCCATCAAATTAGTTGTCGTTTATTCAGTATGTTTTTCCAAATCAACGTGGAGGGATATATCATTCAACAACACGTCCAAATGATGAAGTTGTTCATTCAAAATGGGTGTTCTGTTCCGCCACAATCGTCCTACCGCCAAGACTATTCGCAATGTGGTGGATAAATTTGAGTCCACTGCTTCAGTACAGGATCGACCAACACCCTTACGTTGGTGACACGCAATCTACATGAGATAGAAGAGCATCCAATGTATCCCAAAAATGTCACTGTTTGATGTGGATTTTGGGCTGGCAGAGTCATAGGTCCATATTTCTTTGAGAACGACATTGGCCAGGCCATCACTGTCAACGGCGAGCACTATTGGTCGATGATTACCAACTTCTTTTGGCCTGAATTGAACACCAACGACATGTGGTTTCAATAGGGCGGCGCTACGTAGCGAATCAGTAATTGATGTTTGTTTGAGTTGCAAAAGACAGTGTAACCATCCAATATCATAGTTAAATTCCCTCAGTTAATATAATCCGTGATCTGAGAGAAGTACTCACTTGTACTGAAGGGCAACTTTAAATTTGAATTGAAGGGTCATGTTCTCCCTCATTGATCAGTAGGCAGTTGTCCTGAAAATCTTGCGAAAAAAATCGGATTGGTTCATTTAGGAAACATTAGCTGCATGAATAGCATTTTGCAAGTATTATTCATGACGAGCTTTGAACGATGAACGAGGACAAGATGTTTCCTACTTATTCACCAAACTCAAACACCTGTTCGTGCAGCTGCAGTTTCGTAAAAATGTATCATCTCCAAATAAGCAGAGTTGCACGGATGCGTATTAAGCATTTTACCTCAGCAAGGTGACCAGAGGAAAGTTGCAACCTCAGCATATGAATCTTCATAAATATTGAGGAAGGTCAAAATCAACACAAAGTATTGAGAAATTCATTCAGTATTCATTGATCACTCTTCAGAAACGGTTCCAAGGCATTTTAAGAATGCAGCACATCTCCTTTTCATCGTTCCTGCTGGGTAGCAGTATAAGTTTTTTGGTGATTCTTTGTATCTTTCTCAACTATTTTATTAACTACCCTTAGCGTCATTTTTTTGTTTTCATCATAATAAATATTTCATTCAGTTTTAAATGAGTTCTTTCATTATTTGGATGAAAGAGGGTTGATTGAAACAGCGATGAGCAAAGAAAGTCTCGGACTGTTTGCACTGTTTTAAGATCATCGGCAAAAAGAAGACAATCTATATATTTCAGAACTGACGGTAAATCATTGATGAAAATTATGAACAGAAGTGGACCTAGATTCAATCCTTTTGGTGCACCTGACCTAGCTGAAAATTTATCTGAAATTTTTCAGTTATGTTTGACAATGAAAAACTGATTTTGAAGATAATTCTCCGTTAGTTCCATTTTTTTTATTTTATATTTACTCAATTATTATGAAATTTGTTTTCAGATTTATTATACTTTATTTGGTTCCTCCGATGTAGCCATTGTAAGTACATATATACATATAGATGGAGCTGAAGAAGTTTTATTTCAGTCGTNTTTCAAATTGTGGAAGGTAACAATTACCCAAAAAAGGTCGATAAAAAAACTGATTTTTTTTCCTCCACAAAAATTACTTTCATTGAATAATCATGTACTAATTTTTCAATCTTATTGTTTGTTCTTAATATTTTTTTTACCCATCCTAGAGGAGTATCAATAACAAACAGAAAAATTAAAAATTATTTTTCAGGTTAGATACTAAAGCGCCAAAACATGGAAAGGAAGACCCAAAGAATGAGCCTCATGTTGGAGGTAACACTTGGGCTGGTGGAACTGGTGGCAGAGACACTGCTGGTCTTGGAGGAAAAGGAGGGCCGTATCGTTTAGATAAGGGCCACAAAGTGCACCAGGTAAAATTTATAATTTAAATCTTTTAAACAGATATTCTCGACTATCTGTGAATAATTGTGCGGAGAACTAAAATCGTTGGGCACCAAAAGAGTAACTTGACCCGTAACAGTATAACGCACCCCAACGGTTTGGTCAATTTGACTACCAAACTACTACCGACCCCGTTCTGGACGACCCTCGACGCGTCAAGAAATGACTAAGTCGTCGACAAAATAATGCCCCCGTTTGTGAAGACCGTCGCCGAACAATTGATCAACTTTGTTAGATATCTGGAATATCATGGAGTTCAATTCAGAGGTTCATATCTGAAGATTTGCACATAAGAAGGGTTGCAGCCAAATTTGTCCATCGCCTTCTCACATACGAAAAAAAGAAAAATCGTCTTCAGGCATGTTCACAATTGCAAATAAGTTTGAAGAGGCCACCATTGTGATTACTGGTGAAAAATCTTGGTGGTTTGATTACGATCCTGAAACAAAACAGCAATCAAACCAGTTAAATATGTCTGTTTCTTCTTGTCCCGAAAGAAGGGTTGTGGCCAAATTTGTCCATCGCCTTCTCACATACGAAATGAAGCAACATCGGCTTCAGGCATGTTTACAATTGCAAATCATTTTGAAGAGGCTACCATTGTGATTACTGGTGAAAAATCGTGGTGGTATGATTACGATCCCGAAACAAAACAGCAGTAAAACCAGTTAAATACGTCTGTTTCTTCGTGTCCCGAAAAAAAACTCGCCAAATGATGGCAAACATCGAGCATGCTCATTTGTTGCTTCAATTGCAGGGACATTGTGCACCTGGAGTTGAATGGCCCTGGTCAAACTATCGACCAGAGTTCTACTTGGAGGTTTTGAAAAGCTTGAGGGAGAGTATTCGGAAGAGAAGGGCAGATCTTTAGCGCACAGGCGCACCATTCTCTCCATTAAGAAGTTTTTGACAAGTAACAATATGACATTGTCCACCCTCCTACTCGTCGGATCTAACCTCCTGTGACGAGATTTTGTTTTTCAAACTGAAAGATTGCTTTCAACACCTGCATAAATTTCTGCGTTACTAGATTGTTGTAGTCAAATTACTCTTATAAGTTTTAGTACTCATCAGGTATTAACGTATATTTCATTCGATATTCTTTCAGCTATCAGATGAAGAAAAAAATGCTGTTCCAGAGCACATTCAACGGGCAGCGAGAGAGATGGGTCGGAAGGCGTTTCAGGAGAGGTTGAAAGAAATCGGGATGAGTGGGTATGATCACTCGGTTTACTCTCAGTTTTCTGATTCTGTAGCGAGACAAGTTCAATCTTTGAGGGTTATTTTGGGCAATTTGCAGGCCAAGAACAAGGAGAGGCAGTGGTCCAGACATCAGACTTCCGGAGAGTTAGACGATGTTAAGCTCATCGATGGTAAGAAATGTTAGTATCGGTTTTTGGGCCGCTTAGTGGAGTTGTGATCTTGTTTCAGGCTTGCTGGGAGAAAAAACAATCTTTCGGCGAAGGGCAGAACAAGAACCGGAGCTGGGAACGCCACAGATTAAACCGAAGTTATTCAGGGTGGTAGTAGATGTTTCCGGCAGCATGTACAGGTTAGTGATATCGTTTGGATTTGAATTTTAACCAAAAAACTCCAGTTCATCCAGNTCATTCTCTTGAGTAATGGCCACAATGTTTTGTCAAGTTTGTAAAGTGGTAGGTATTGGTTTCCAACGATTTATACAAACTCCATAACAACACGGTTTTGTTGTTCCTTTTCGGGCAGGTACCATTATAATAGATATATTTTGATCATAAATATATTATACTGTTCACACTAATCGTATTTCAGATCTGTCATTCCCGCCAAAAATTATTCCCTTTATATGTTCGATCAAAATACATCAAGCACACAGGCTGGATGACCTAACCTGTGTGCCCAAAATACGAAACTAATCACAAGTTCTTCTAGCTTATTTGAAAGAAATTTATTTCGTACTGTTTTTTTTTAATTTTGTATTCTTCACAATCAGATACTTCAACACATTCGTTCACAAAAGACATCACGAATGCTGACGCATGCGCCCAAAAAATCTGATAAAAAGGTCTATCAGACAAAGCCAGTCCAAATTTGAGGTTAAAATTTATGATTGCAATATAAAATTTAGTCAGTATGGCATATATCATACCCGCAGTTGTGAAAACTATTTGGATAGTATAAGAGAATTCAAACAGAAATAACTTTTCAATAAACAACATTGAACTGTCAAACTATAATAATACGCCATCAATTAGTCTCAATATCTGAAAAATTGCCGAGGAATAACGATCGTCTACCTGTCTTCGAAGTACTGATTAGAAGCTAATAATAATATGGTCTCAATATATATCCCTGATAAACTTACTATCCCAAAGGAATGTGAGAGAAAGTTTCTCATTGGTCGAAGAACTTGCAGCGCGCGACAAAATTGTGACTTAGCTCTTAGTACTTTGATTATTCTTATATGGCAACCTTGATCGATGTTTAATTTTTGTAGTGTTCATTCACATCAGCTGATTTCTGTGGACTATTCGGTTTTCTCCGACCCTCCACGATTAGTTTATTTCGCAACACGCGTTTATGAATTGTAGTAGGTGATAATTTTTGCCAGTCAAGTTCGAATCATGTTGAGGCTCATTCGCAACGGTGTCACCAAATTCCAAAGGTGCAGCTATTCTGCACAAGCTTTACCGGCGCCACAAGAATCGCCGAATGTCCTGTATTCTGGGGTAAGCAAGAATTAATTGTCTGTTGAAATGTATATGCTGACTTTTAAAACATTTCGTGAAGCAGTGGCCTGTTAAGTGTTACTTTAGGTTTTGAATATATTTTTTGAAATATATATTTTTTTTCAAATATATGAAGGTTACGGCTTTATCAAATTAGTAAGTAGTATAAATAGAATATTTTTGGACTCCTGGTTTTCTCAATGAAAACTTTTCAAGGCTAGTTATTGATTCAATCATAGGATTAATGACAAGCCGGACGTTGTGTCCGTTACCTCACCGAATTTGATAATGTTGTAGGCGAAACGTCAGGAACAGAGACCTTAGGGTCACAAACCCGAAAAACATTTCTGAAACAGTTATTTCCTTCTGTGAAAGTACACATTGTTTGATATTTTGAATGTTTCAGACGATGCACGCGCATTCTCAATATTGCTGGTCTGGAGATCATACTCTAGAATCAACAGAATGGGCAGTATCGACGTTGTCTGAGGAAGATTGTGACGAGGCTATATTAGTAGTACTTTCAGATGCTAATTTACAAAGGTACGGAATCCCGCCCGCCAAATTAGCCCAAGCTATGTCTGCGAAGCCCAATGTAAGCTCTTATGCGGTATTCATCGGGAGTTTGGGAGATCAAGCTGAAAGGTGAGATTCATAATAATCGTTTCTTGTTGGAGTTTATGCATGATTTCTCGTGTGAGCTATTGTATCTTAGCATCTTAACTTTTTTGTTTCAGATTGAAGAGAAGTGAAACTTCACATATAGAATTTGACCTATTAAGCTATCTCATTCAATTTCTTCTTTTTTTTTTCAGGTTAACACAAAGATTGCCTGCTGGACGTGCTTTTATATGTAATGATACCAGTGAATTACCTCAAATCTTGAAGCAAATATTCTCATCTTCTGTTGTTGGTATATGAATGTATTTTTCCAAGAATCTAGAATAATTTTGTACAGACATGTTTTCATTTATATTTGTTCCAACAATATACGTTTACTGTTTTTGTTCCATACAAATATTTTATCAAAAAAAAAAGGATAACAGTACAAACAATATTTTTTCCATCGTTTCCGACTATTTTATGTTTCATTTTCATTTCAATTGAAATTTTTAATGTGAACAGTTTTGTTTTACGGGTTTAATAAAAAATTTTTGATATTCACCTGATCAGTGGATGATCATAAAACTGCAGTACCGGTAACGGTATAACCCTAATCAGCCCTCAAATGTATGCATGGTAAAAATCCGCCAAGGTTTTTCATTTTTCCACATCGATGGAGCAACAGAATAAAGCAGTCGAAGTTGAATGATGTTTTAATTAGCATGTTCCTATCCTGCATGGCGCAGTCGGTAGGACTAACTCAATAATCATTGCATAATGAAATTGGAAGTCCATAGCAGCTACTCAATAGTAGGAGAATTCAGGAAACTATTTGAAAAATATTTTTTTTATGTATTAAAATTTTCTTACAGACAGCTCGCGTAAACAGACGTCATTCTCATGAGTAATGGCCACAACGTTTTGTCAAGTTTGTAAAGTGGTAGGTATTGGTTTCCAACGATTTATACAAACTCCATAACAACACGGTTTTGTTGTTCCTTTTCGGGCAGGTACCATTATAATAGATATATTTTGATCATAAATATATTATACTGTTCACACTAATCGTATTTCAGATCTGTCATTCCCGCCAAAAGTTATTTGCTCTTTCTCTCTGGTCGATCAAAATACAACAAGGAAGGGTAGCGAGTAACTTCTGGTTGAAATAACTCAATGTGACAACAAAACATAACTATTNATAATACAATCTCCTATTCAACCACCTATTCAAATACCATTTGAATAACTATTGCTATTTTACTACCATGTTGATGAATATTCATGAGAACAATTATGCGGAATCCAAAATCAACTAATGGATAAATAGATCTATAGTGGGTTGTAGTAAATTGTGAGACATTTGAAATAAAATGTCGATATGGGATATACGAGGACTGTTCAAAAAATAAGATAAATTTTCATTTTCCTCAAAAATATTTATTCCTTCATAAATGCCTATTTTGTTACCTTCAAAGTAGTCCTCAATCGTCGCAAAACACCCTCCTTTCATAGTTCATGGTTCTCTTCAATCTTGGGAACAGGAAAAAGTTGCAGCGGGCCAAATCTGATGAATACGGTGGCTTAGGCGTGATTACGGCTTGTTTTTGGTCAAAAAGTTAAGAACAAGCCTCATCTCCTGAAGACGCCAACTTTGTTGGTAAAAGATGGGTACTTCGAGAAGAGTGTTGCAGTTCTGGTGTTCTCGAACACCAGGGTTTAATATTTTTCAGCAGAAAGTGATATGTGAAACCATCTCATAATATATGGCGTGTTATGAAAATACTAGAAGCAGTAATTTTCACATTTTATTACCCTAAGCATTACCTTTGGTGCGACGTAAGATTCTCATTTCTTCATGATTCAACATTAATGAACTGCTAAAATTGAAATTCTTCTGTATGAAGTTGTTAGAAAAAATTTATTTTCACCCTGGAACTGCAAGTAAAGTACTATATCTACATTCCAACGGGTCTTCTAACAGGGACTTTCGAACTGACAACTGATAACAGACGTTTGTTGAAGCTACATCTGTTAAATCAGTTGACATTTCTTCAGTCTATTTGCCAAATCACAATGGACGGATATAGCATTCACCAAAACGTGAAAATTGTTTTATCAAAATAAGTGTTCTGTTCGGGCAACGTACCGCGCGCTTAGCTCATTTTACGGTCGCCATAATCCTACCGAGAGGATTATTCGCAATGTGGTGGATGAATTTGAATCCACCATACATAATAGCTCTTTCAAACGATTAAAAAAATCGCTGATATCCCACACTTTGTTTTATTTTAACTTAAAGATAGGAAACGCTTAATGAAAGACCCTATTATATCGAAGGAAATCCTTGTATTTGATAATAAAAGAATGACTCACTGAAATATTTCATGAGAGACGCGAAATCTTTGTACATGGTACCAGTTCTTGTTTCTGGGAACTGTATGGTTTCCCAGTCATAGTTAACAAGCAGTTTTTCATTTCTTTGAAACCGACTCATCCAAATATCCCTTTCACATCCGTTGCCAAACACGCCTCCAGCGTCCACCACTGTAGCTTCTTGTGACCATTTGAAACATTAATAATACAGGGTCTGACTCTTCATAAATCCATTCCTATACCTCAATTGTGGGATCTCCGATATCTATCAGATTAAGAGATTTGGCAGACCTTCAATATTTATTGAACCAATAATTGGCGTAGTGCACTAGAGGTCGAATTATATGAAAATTGTTTTAAGATTCAGCATTTCCAAAAACCTGAAGTGAAATTGACAGATGGGAAAAAAATTAAATGGAATAGGGGGTCTTGTGGCACATCTTTTTGAAGTTCCTAACGAATACTTCACAACCCTAGAATATGAAATCAATATCTCCACCTACTACAATATGACGGAACATTTAATAATTTCCTGAAGACAATCACATTAATATCGATATTTCTAGAAATATTCCTTTTTATCTGCCATATGGCAATTCCAACAACCCGATAAGGTTTGTTATTTTTTGTTTATAAAAACGAAAAAAAATGTCAGTACCACAATGAACATCATTGTTCAGTTAGAATATTCTCATTTAGTTTTCGGCTTTACTAGTAGAAAGAAACCACGTCAAGAATCTCCAAAATGATCAATTCACGTCCACTGGAAGAAAAAATTGAACAAGGGAACTGTATTTGAATATGCTGGAAACTACTGTTGATCCTCTCATCACTGAAATCGTCGAAGCGAATCCTAATGAATTCAATATGGATATTGTATTCCAACAAGATGGAGCACCACTACATTACTCCAGACAAGTAAGAAACTATTTGGATACTACTTTTCCCGGTCGTTGGATTGGCCGTCGAGGTCCTACAGAATGGCCAGCCCGCTCGCCAGATTTGACACGAAACTGAACCTGCTTCAATATTGGATATTCAGCAGAGAAATTGAATTTTTTCGTTCGCTTTTTGAAAATAACTCTTGCAAAAAATAAGTAATTTGCACGAAATTCGGTACGCGGGTTTTTTCTGACGTGAGAAATCATAATTTCGTATTAATTTTCATGTAACATCTAGAGGGCTTCTGTTTGAAGGTGATTGACAATGTTTCATGATGAATTTCACTAGTACGCCAACATCTGTGCCCACTTTGGAGATAATTACTGCAGTGGAATACACCAGTTCCCTTATTGACCAGACCGAGGCAGAAGAGTTCAGATGCAAAATTAGAGAACAGCTGGATCGAGAACCAGTTCCAACATCTAACATCAGCAATGAAGAACGTAGAGCTCTGAACGGCCTACGTAGAGACAACACCATCAAGATCCTACCTGCAGATAAAGGAAACGCTACTGTGGTAATGGATACCGTTCTTTACGAATAGAAGATTGAAGAGGTTCTGCAGAAGGGACGATACACAAAGATCGTACGGGACCCTACTGCATCAATCGAAAGGAAGTTGTACCAGATTTTGAAAAAACACCAAGTCTATTTTTCGAACAAGAAAAGATCATCGCTAACACCGCACCACAGTAAGCCACCTCACTTGTATGGACTACCCAAAATCCACAAGAAGGATGTTCCGCTTAGACCGATCATCAGCTCCAGAGATTCGGCTACTCAAATCTTGTCTAGATTTTTACTTCCCTTAATACAACCATTACAAGGAAAAATATCGTTTTTTGTGAAGAATTCAAGGCATTTTGTCGAACTACTAGGGTCAATTGAGGNTTTGAGTATTGATACTTTACGAAAAAGTGAATTTCTTCTTTCTGTTGAACACGAATTTCAACTTGAGAACTATTGTAATTCAATATAATAATAACAACATAACACCATTCAATCATTTTCGTAAACTACGCCTCAACTAGTTTATGAAATTACTATATATCAATCAATCAATCAATAATCATTTCCAAGGAATTTTTAAAATTAAGATTCACCAAATGAAGTGACCATGGATTTGTACATTAGCAACAAAAACTAGAGTATGTCGTAATACTCTTAAATAACGGAGAGATTCCTTGTGATTTTTTTGAGGAGAAAAAATGGGTAAAGCTAGTGCAGTCACTATTATTAAACGAGTCGTTCAAGGTTGAGAATTGAGGTGGCATCCATAATTTAACGATTTACTGTTGTATGGGTTGGTCTACAGTCGTAGATGATACCATGTCCTTGGGAGCAAGAGACTTTTACAGTTTAGTGATAATAACAGCTGATTCTAATGCAAGCATTACATAGGCCCAGGTTTATTGTTTTGGAATCATTTCATAATGAAGATAAATTATAACATTCATACAATTTATCTAATCTTGTGTTCTTGACATTAACGAGGTCACTGATCTTTTTATTATCATTACCTTTCGTAACATATTCTTCAGAGAATATTTCCAATCTTTGAAACTCACAGAATTTTATAATCATTAACGATTTCAAAGAATATTACTGGAGTTTTTTCCCAAAACAAAACACGGGTTTCGATCACCAAGTGATCATCTTCAAGAGGAAGATTAAACTAAATATCCTTACAATGTTATTCTTATTTATACCATAGATACCTATGCTAAGTGCCTTAAATTAATTTCACAATATTGCTTTATCTACTAGTCTTAAATCAATTTTACAAGGTGTCCTTATGTAATAGTCAGGTAAATCTAATAATTAAAATATTATTTCAACAAGCTATATAGAATACTATTAGGTATTGGTCCACCATCGTTATTCATAATATTATTATGTTTACTTATTTCCACACTCTCATCTAGATGCATGTTGTTGTTAACTTTCCGAATTCTCGACTTGTCTTTTGGATTTCCTAAAAGGCTCTGTAGTGTACGACTTGTTTTAAAAACCACCTTCATACCTAGTTCCTTGAAAATCTTTCCAAAGTTCTTCCTGTATTGGTGGTATGGAGCTGAGTTATATTTATCATGGTTTTCGTCGTTTTTAAAAGTCGTAATTTCGTTCATTCTCAACCCAAACATTTTCTTCCTCATTATATCATCTACAATACCCCTCGAGAAACCGTTACTGGTTGATATTTCCTGTATTGTACGTTTTTCTTTTTGTGTGGGAGGAAAAGTCAAATGGCGATGTAATAGAAAATTCAGCCCAGCACGTTTGTGCTGTCCACAGTGATGTGAACTGTCAGGAATATACCTGAACGTGCATGTTTCCTTTCTAAATACATCGTATTCTAGCCCTCCATATAGGCTCCTCATTACCAAAACGTCAAGAAATGGAAGTTGTCCTTTATTTTCTAACTCATACGTGAATTTTATTGATGGAAAACAAAGTCCTCAATTTTTTGTTAAAGAATATCGCGAAAACATCATCCATATACCTCAGCCATATCCTTGGAAAATACTTTGACTTTTTCTTTTCTCTGCTCATAATAATAGGGAAGCCCAAGTGGGGATTTCGGGATTTACTATAAAGCGCAGCAGATTATTATACAATGGGATACCTTGTACCCGGTTAAGTACCTCCACCAATATGAGCCCCATATATAAGGCCACCCGTGAAGGATAAAGGATCAGATTAGTAAAAAAAAAAATGATAATCAGAAATTCTCGAGCGCGTCAGATTGAGGTAGGGTGAGTTAATTACATGCTGAAAAGTGTATATTCCAGTAATCTGACAATTTGAGAGTGACGTAAAGAAAGGGGAGGGCAGCAAAGGTGTAAAAAAATAACGTCATTTCGACATCCTCGAGCGTTGCTGATTTTTTTTTTATTTTGAAGGAAATAAGTCAAGGATAACAAAAAAATATATAATCTGACGATTTCCGCAAGCCGAAATAACAAAAATTGGTCGATAAAGTTTAATGCGTGCAGCTGTATGATATCTATATTTCCCTCTCCGAGTTTCTATTCCTCTTTCACTTTTTCTCTATCTATTACTCTCTCACTCCGTCCCCACTCTGAATTCTGTTGCCATGACGCCATCACAGCTGATCACAGAGACTCGTTC